ACAAACCGGGGGGTACATCCACAAACCGGGGGGTACATCCACAAACCGGGGGGTACATCCACAAACCGGGGGGTACATCCACAAACCGGGGGGTACATCCACAAACCGGGGGGTACATCCACAAACCGGGGCCGCACCTCCCTCGGGAGCAGCCCTGGCCCCGACCCGCCGCGTTGCCGGGGCCGGGACCCGGCGCTGCTCCCCCCGCCGGGCTCTCCCCGAGCCGCCGCCGCCCTCAGCGCCGGTCCCGCCCCGCGCCCCCCCGGCGGGCTCCGGGGCGCGTCCCACACGGGGGGCACACGGCAACTTTCTCACCGGAGCGCCGAGCAGTTCCCTCTCTTTGTCTGCGCTGCCCGGCCCGGAGCCCCCTCAGCCCGCACCGGGGGCTCCGCTCCCGCCGCCGCTCCCTCCCTCCGGACCCCCGGCCCTGTCCCGCGGGGCTCCCCGGGAGCGGGGGGGTCCCTGTGCCGCCCCCGCCCGCCGCGCTGAGGGGAGGCAGGGGCGGGCAGGGTGGCCCGGCCGCCGCCGGGGCTGTACCTGGTGGTTCTCCCTGGCGTCCGGGGCTGGCTGGCGGTGGCTGCCCATCATATTCACGTAGAGGGACCTGGATAAAGGGCTCCGCAGGTAGCGGGCAGGGCCAGCCCACATCGTCCTCCGGAGCACCCACAGGAGCAAGGTGTAGCAGCCCAGCCAGCACAGCCACCGTCTCATGGGGAAGGGGCGCGCTCAGCCCCGCGCGGCGCCGCCGCCCCCCCGCTCCATGGCAGCGGCGGCTCCGCTCGGGGCCCGCGCGGAACGTGCCGCCGCGGCAGCGGGGCCCGCCCGGACGCCTTCGCTGCGACACGCCGGGGCCTGGCGCGCACCCGCTCCCTCCCTCTCTGTCCCTCCCGCGCCAATGGCCGGGCGGGCGGGGCCGCGTTCGAGCTGGAGCGGGGCAGGGCAGGGCAGGGCAGGGCAGGGCAGAGCGGGCTGGCGGCGGCGGCTCGGCCGGGCCCCTCCCTCCTCCCCGCCCCGCTGGCGGCGGCGGCGGCGGCCCCTCGGCGGGGCTCGCGCACGTGCCCGGCGCCGCCCTGTCACCCCGGCGCGCGTGCGCAGAGCGCGGCTGAGGGACGGGGACCCCCCGGGAATGAGGGAACAGCGGGAACAGCGGGAACAGCGGGAACAGCGGGAACAGCGAACCCGCTCGGTGGGACAGGAGCCCCGGGACCATCGAGGCCAAGCTGCGGCCCAACACCACCGTGCCAGCCGGACCGTGGCACTGAGTGCCACACCCGCCCTTTCCTTAAACACCTCGAGGGACGGTGACCCCACCACCTGCCTCGGCGGCCCCTTCCAATGCCTAATCACCCTTTCTGTGAGGAAACGCTTCCTAATGTCCAACCTAAACCTCCCCTGGCACAGCTTAAGACTTCATGTCCTCTGGTCCTGCTGGTTGTAGAGAGCAACAAGGTCCCCCGAGCCTTCTTTTCTCCAGGCTAAACATCCCCAGCTCCCTCAGCCGCTCCTCATCAGACTTGTGCTCCAGACCCCCAGCTGCTTTTTAAACAGACATCGTCTTGCAATGTATAAACCAAAAAGAAAAACCACAACTGTTTCAGGATGTAGCTCACAGGGAAACATACCTTAATTTTGTCACATTGAAAATACAGATAACTGATTGCATACCAAATAAATTAAGAAATACACTTGCTTTTTAGCCTACAACCTGGGTGTGTTTTAATGAGATTTCCCAAAGTTCCTACCCAGCGTTACATTAATATTCTAATGCAGCAGTTGTATACTCAGCATATTTTTCTCTTGACAGGCTATAAGGAACTCACTATTCATGCATATTTAGGTAATAATTTTGATGTATTGTTATTTGCATATGGGCTGGTGGAGTGGTAACCAATTGCTGGACAACCTCAGTAAACTATTTGTTGTGTAAGTGTATCACTTTATCATTCAAAGCAATTAGTGTGCTGAGAGGGGATTTCCACAAAAAATCGAATCACTTTTTTTTTTCTGTTTTCTCCCCAACTATTTGGATAGTGCTTTTTTTTCATTTCTCTTGATGGAAAATACCTATAATCGAATACCTGAAGTCCCAAAGATCTCCAAACACACCCAAAGGCTTTAACAGAGGAGGTATTTCTTCGTGGTGATCCCAAGGAGCCTGGCTTCTGGAGCAGGGTTGGAGACAGGGCTGGCTGCACAGCCTCACGGAGTCTAAAATGTAAACCTTCAGTTCTCCTGATAACATACTCTGATAAAACAACTTTCCCTCCTATTATTTAAACATTAGTAAGAAAGTGATTACCACAAAGAGGTCTTTAAGGTAAACACTGATAGGGATCTAAAATCCTCTCCCCCCAAGGGTAACCCAGGAAGCCCAGTCGTGAGTCTGTCCAAGCTCTTTAAGACAACTCCCACCACTCCCATTGTGTGTTCCTTTACAAAACCAGCTGGGATTCTTTTGCCTGCATGTACTACTGAGCTTTTTTCCCTGAGCTGGCTTAATTCAGCAAGAATTGTGGAGATGTGGCTTATCTTAACTGCTCCTTCCCCTTCCTGCTTGTCTTTCCTGACAGCACCCATTAAGCTGTGGAACCCTATTCAAATGTAAACATCCTACTGGCCATGTCAACGTTGTATATCCATGAATTACTGAGCAGTTCCAAAATCAGAGCAGCAGATTTGAGACTGGGAAAGCCACAACAGAGGTGGGCCTGTGAGCTCCACCAGACATAATTTTTTCCCACTTAAAGTTAAATATGCTTTGCCGTCATTTATTCAATATTTTCACTCTATCACTGCCCATCTATTGCATTACTGCTGTATTAGACTAACATTCTTGAGTGTCTATTAGGTAACATCCTTTTAAATCTAGCAGGCACTTTTACCTATTGATTTTCAATAAATAAAAGTCATTCAGTGTATTAAGACCCATATTCTCAGAATTTATAGAGAAACTCTAAGAATTGGATTCAAGCATCACATTTCTCATCCTCTGAACTCACCACAGCATTTCATATTTTATATTATACACATACTTATATCCTCTTTATCAGTTATGAGGCTATTTTAGACACTCTTAAATTATCAAGATTAAACTGAGGCATTTCTCCAGCGGTGGGAGTTCAAGCTCAGATACCACTTGCTAATAAGGAGAGAAAGCAGAGAAACCAGCTGTTGCAAGACACTGAACTTTTGCCTTTGATCATCCTTTTCTTGATTCACGGCCAAAACCAATGATGTAGGTTTAGCAGAGGATAGCAAGGTTTAGTGGGTGACAGAGAAATGCAGAATAAGCCATGTCAGTCACAGCACAGTGCCAACCTTCTACTCCTGTAGTAAGATACCACCCAAATTTAAAGCACTTTTAAGTCCTCTTTTGGATTGACTATCAGTGCAATGAAAGACAGTTTTTTCCCTGCCCCTATAGCAAGAGAAATAGGACAGACAAATGGCAGAATACATAAAAAATTCGGAAAATTATTGATATTTTACATATTAAGTAATCTGTATTGTATTTCTCAGATTGGCTTTCTAAACTGGTTTATTCTACAGTTGATGTCCCCTATCTTCAGCCTGTCTTGCTTAGACATCTTTGACTATTTACTTTTCCTATCTTAATTCTAAAGATGCAGCAGTTTGTAGAGCTGTGCCTTCAGTCAGGTCACTCCTTACTCTTTTCTTATTTCAGCAAATTGAATGGTGTTGTTACCAAACATTTTCCGGGAAAAAAAATAATTCTGATAATTTCAAAGAATCCTTGATGCAATTTTGACTCTTAAAACCTTATTAGACTTATTCGATTTCTTGTTCTACAGCACAGTACTCTTCCAGTTGCACATTGTGTTCTAATAATTCAGTATGAGAAATAAGTAACAAACAGAGTCACCTAAGAAACTCTATTTGTGGTACAATAACATTTTCACCCATCAAAATATATATTCTACAAGGATAGGATGAACACAGCAAACTTAGGAACTACAGAAACAGTAAAGAAGACTATTTAAATGTATTTATTACCATTTTAAAGGAACTGTCAGGGAGAAGACTTTCAAAGAATGAATCAAAGATTATATTAACTTAAATTTCTTCAGATTTTTGTCCTTTGGCTTTTGATCCTGCCTTTAAGACACAAAATTAACACACACAAGGCAGGGATCTTTTAAAATTCAGAATCTAAACACACAGGCGGTATCTGCTCTGGTATTTGTATTTACATATCCAAGGAATATTTACACAAGTGATGCTGGAATGTGTACACAATTCCATCAGCATGTACAATGCAAATGAATAACGGCATCTCTGACAAGGCAGAGAAAAACCAGATAACACAACTTAAAACTTCACCACACTTCTGGCTTCTTACATTTTCACATAAATCTTCATATTCCTATCAAAGGGTTCATTTGGATTTGTAAATATTTAACGATGCTATCCCACTTTTTCACTCATCGCCTTGAAAGCACTTCGCACTTCAAAAAAAAAAGGCAAGCAAATGATGTTATTTCTGCTCTGCAAATGTAAAAACTGAGGCACAAAAGACTATTTTTTTTTCAGCTCTGGTATTTCCAATCTCAACCTTTTTCATTAAGTTGTGCTGCTGTCCAGCAAAATGCAGGGTCTCATCTTACACTCCTTTCTTTTCCAACGTAGAGCCTTGGAAATAAGCTGGCTCAGCACTTTAAATTTAAAACTGGGATCCACTTTAAAATTGGGATCCACAATGTATCTTCTTGTACTTTCAAGTGACTGGCACTCCATAAGAAAGGTGCTTCTAAGAATTACATTTGCCCAGGCAAAACAAAGAACAAAACCAAAATTACTATATTATGCTTAAACTACCAATTAGACATTGGATATACTGAGGAAAAATAATATTTATTGAACAGGAATATTGTAAACAGGCTAATGTTTCTTATCATTACAAGACAGAACTCAATGTTTCTGAAATTTTATCCAAAAATTGTAATTTTATAAAAATCACAGGATCCATTTAAAAGCTTGACTAAAAGGATTTCGGTAAGAATTAATCAGAAAATAACTTCAGTTGTCACACACCAGATGAGTTTGCCCCTGTAACATTACTAAGCAGGTAGAGTTTACTTCAGTAACTGTCTGTGCTTAGATTTATCCACCTAACTGGGCATTATTACACCCACACACTGATGTCCTTCTTGCCACTTGACATTCTGTATGAAGTACTGACTATATGGTACCTTCAAAATAATTTTCCCATTTAGAGCCAGAAAACTGCATCTGCCTTCCACCACCAAGAGATATTCAGGAAGCCAGTGAGGACTTCTGGAGCTTTTTCCACATCCAGCACCACTGAACAGCATTTTAATCTTTTTCTTCTTTAGCCCTACCCAGACTTTCCCAGGGTAGATTGTTACTCTTGCCTGGAGCAGCTGTCAGATTTGTGTTATATTGGCCAGCCACACACCATCTAAATTTCTCCCTTCATCTCCCTGCCATCCCTGCTGAGGGATGTCCACCAGAATCTTCCAGATTAACTTCAGAGATCTGCTGTTTTATCAGTATGGCAAAATTAATCCACCAGTAAGCTTAAGAAAATACAGCTCCCTTGAATTCCATGGCTGGGTTGGGATTCCTTTACCTGATCCGCCATATCCATTCTTCAGGTGAGTTAACAGCGATCAGTACAGACCAGAAATTACTTCAAATAAAGTAATTAAGGATAACACCCACTAAAAGAAAACGACCAAACTAGGAAAAACTCAGCTGTAGGCTCAGCATCAAGGCTGAGTGCAACTTATAAAGAGCTCAAACTGCCTGGCAATTTTGCTTTTTCACCTGAAAATCACACCAACCCTTTAGTGGTTGAGCTGAGCAGAAGAGGCGCTGCCCAAGGGGGTTGTGTTTAGTGTACAGCTGTCATGTGGCTGTTCTGGATGGAAAAGGGAGTCCACGTCAGCACCTGCATGACTGCAATGCAAAGTGGAACCAGGCAGATCAGGTTGAACATGGCATCATGGAGATCTAAAAATGTCCTGGGGAAGACAGGGAAACACAGCTTTTCAGTAGGAAGATTAACTTGCCTGCTCAATTCACAGCACATTCCTTTTCAAGCAGTCCCATTCTATGCACATAGACATGTTACTGTACAGTCAATTCTAAGTCAAAGAAATATATACATATATCAGGTATCAAATGAATTTCAACAGTATTTTCTAATTCTACATACAAATACGTGGAATATATTTTATTTTGTTTTCTCCTTTCATAACAGCTGGGAGGAAATCAGACAATTAGCACTCAAAGAGTTAATTTTAATACACTCTAGGCAACCTAAGAAATCCTGTTCACTACTGTAGTACTCATCTATATTATGTAATATAGAAATCAATTTAAGCAGTATCATCCAGTTATAGAATAGAGTATCCGAAAAGCTTTAGTAAGACTGAAAAATCTGGAAGAGAAAGAAAAGCAGAAAACATTTCAAGCAAACATTTTAATATGGAATTATTTAAGTTAAAATCTGTGCTTTCCACATCGTGTGTTGGTTTAGTTGCTGAGTGCTAGATGGAAGTGATGATTAATGCACAAAATTCAGGTGTGGTCTAAAGGACTGTTTGAAATATCAAGCCCTATTACATTTGGGTTTAAAATAAATGATTACAAAGTAATATAAATCATAAAAAAATACATGTGAAATGAACTTTCATTTCTTCTACTGGATGCATGGTAACTCCTCATCTAAACCTTCTCTAATGAATAAGAAATAAAAGCATCAACAAATATGACTCAAAAAGGAAAATGCAAGAATTAAATGAGTTCCCTTTTATGAACAGTATGGTTGCTGACAGCTCAAAGCCTGCATTTTGGCATTCATCTGGTAGCTGGAATCATTAGCTACTGGCATTCTGTTAATTATTGGATTCTAATTACTTAAATATCAGGAAAGTCAACTCAAGCTGAGAAACAGCCCCTAAATGAACTTTCTCTCCATGAGGCAGTTTATGTTACTTTCTCTTTTTTTTTTTTTCCTTAGCATTCAGGGATGAGAGAGGAGACTCACAGAACAGCTACAGCCAGCCAAAATCCCTGAAAATGTGTGGAGAAAAATCCCCAAACAAAACCTCCAACAGGTTTTTAAACAATTCAGAGTTTCTTTGAATCATAAAAGAATCACCTCATGTCTCATCACTCCATTTAGCAGAGAGAATACAGCCCAGATTTATTCCTTTGTACACTCACACCCTCATAAACGAGCCCAGTTTATCTCAGGCCACGTACCTGCTGATGCCACACGAGAAAGCAAAACCCACAGGCTCACAAGTGAATCACTTCATCACTTGGGCAATTGCATTTAGGACTGGAAGTGTTCACTAGCAGGCCACTGGTCCACAGCCAAGGTTTACTGGCAGTGACAATAATTTACCACTTGGATGTTGTTCACTGGCCTGTTTTCAATTGCATTCCCAGTCCACCTACGAGGAAACAAGGCCCACCTTTGGCCTGTCCCTGCACACTAAAGAGCATTGCAGTTTTCAGTACTAAAATTATTCTGTCTTTACACAGGGATTTCAGGAAGGACAAAATAAGAAAGAACATCTGCAAAATCGCTCACACTGGTGCAATCCTGATTTGGTTCCAGTGGAACAATATGGATTTAAGAAAAACAGTATTACCTATTGTACTGTAAAACCTTAAGTTATTGCAGGAATTATGAAATAGATCTGTAGAACACAGAATAAGGAACAGGAAAATATGTCATTAAGGGACTGGGATAAATCAAGAGCAGAGCTCAGATTTCATCATAACTACAGCTGAACAAGTAAATTCAGACATTTCCATGTCTGCCTTTTTTTTTTGCACACACAGGAATAAAACATACAATCTGTCACTAAACAGCCCTAACATCACTCTGAACAGAATGTCAGGTAGTCCAGTAATTCAGTATGAAAGCATTAACAGTTTAAAGTGCCTTCCATAAATAATGAAGAGTTGCTGCCAAAAAACTTCATTCTGAAGGATGAATTTGAAAAGCGCTGCCAAGAGAAGCTGGTGGTAGTTGCAGTGGCTCTCCAGAAGAGGGAGGTTTTAAACTAGGGATCTTTTTCACAGCAAAAAAAAAAAAAAAATCCGAGCCAAACTAAAAAAAGAAACCCCAAACAACAACAAAAAAACACCCCAAGCCATACAGGGCAGGTAATGCTTTGCTATGATGATGGAACAAAAGAAAAATCCACAACCCAGGACTGCTCCATTCTGCAAGCTATTGTTCAAATTTTAGGGATATTAAAAAATACTTCTTTAACTACCTCCCACTACAAATTGCTTAACTGCTGTGCAGTGACCGCATTTCCTAAGGATGTGGTCTAATGGGAGCAGAGGGGAAGGATCACCTCCTTTGACCTGCTGGCAAGACTTTGCCCAGTGCATCCCAAGATGCCAGGTCATCCCATTTCTCCAGCCTGTCAGATCCCTGTGGATGGCAGCATGACCCTCTGATGCATCAGCCACATCTCCCACTTTTGAGTCATCACCAAACTTCCTGAGGGTCCATCCTGCCCCATTCCCCTGGCCATGACTGCAGATGTTGAGCAGGATGGGGCCGGCCCAGCCCGCAGGGCTCAGTCACTGCCCCCAAGGAGACCTCCTGGGCCTGCTGCCCACCCTCTGGGCCTGACACTTTTGAACCCATCCCACTGGCTGCTCGGCCAGCCCATATTTCAGCAGCTTGTCCAGGAGGGAGGCAGTGCCAGAGGCCTCCCTGAAGCCCAGGCAGACAATTCCCACTGCCTTCCCTCGGCTCCCAGGCCGGGCATTTCACGGCACGGGTTTATCAAGTTGGTCAGGCACGACTCCCTTCCCCCTGGTGAAGCCATGCTGGCTATGCTGATGATTTTATTGTCCTTACTGTGCCTGGAAATGGTTCCCAGGATTAGCTGCTCCATTATTGTTGCTACAGTTTAACTTTCAGCTCAAGAAAAAAACTAGATAATTTAGAATGGACAAATAGTTTGTGGGTTTGAGCTGCATCTTCTGTCTTCTTCCAGGAAACAACACTGCTGGAAACTCTTAAGACATATTTATTCAAGGCCCAAACATCTTTTTAATGCAGAATAGGGGTCCTCTGTGTTATCTTCACAACTCCCAGCCACTACACCTAATAAAGCAAAGGCTTTCCAAAACACTTGATAGATATTGCCAGCTTTGGAGGAGGAGGAAGGACACAGCTGAGATGGTACTGGCATGGGTCATAATACTTCATTAGATATTCTTCACCTCTGTGAAATTCTTTTGTTTTGAGGTTTTTTTTTTCCAAAACAGCTTGAGCATACTTTAAACAATCTCTTGAATTCAGTTTCTGTTTGTCTTCAAACAACTTTGTCCTGGGGCAAGTCTGTTTTAGCTGCCTGCCTATGGCTGAAAGATGAGATCAGCTGATAGGTTTTTAATATATATATAAGTAATTTTAGCTCAGTCAATGGTCTGAGTACATTGCCATGGGCAAACTGACTCCCTAGAAACAACCTGGAGTAGTCTGGTCTATGTGTGTCCATGCTGAGCATCTGCAAGCAAAGGACATGCCTGTTCACACATATATGTACAGAAAACACAGGCAGACTGCTTCATATTTCAGAAATTATTTCTGAAGAGACGGGCAAGAGAAATACATAATATAGTTCAGGTGCTCTGATTAACTAATCTCAGCTTTGTGCCTTTATGCTGTTCCTGGCCCTAGTGAAATAAATCAAATTTCAGCATGACTCAAGTGAAAATATAGGTTTTAGAGGCATTCAAAGTATTTCAGCTCTCTATACAATAAATTTATTGTTGCTATAGTCCAGGGGCTACCTACTGGGGATAAAAAGATTTATAGCTACTGTGATTTAAAATCCATCCACAAAGGGATCATTTCTCTGATTGAAAGGCATCAGAACTGCAGTTGTTATGTTTCAAGTCAAAATTTCTCTGAATCATCAAGATGAATATATTCAGCCCTCTCATATCCACATCCAGTTCAAGCTACTACTCTTCTGCAAAAATCACTCATCTTATTTGACATTATAATGAGGTTCATGTCCTCTTCACATCATCTCACTGGCTATCTACAGACTGCATTAAAATAAAATTAACTGTTCTCACACAGCCTCAAACTGCCTTTGCTTCAGTCTGGATCCATTTCTGAAGACCACCTGTTGTTCTTTTATGTCATGCTTGTCCTCACACATTTTTTTAGAAAAGTCCTCAAATGTGAAACATTCTCCTAACCAGACCTTCCTCCTTCAAGGGCTGTTCCAACAAAAGTTCATGTAAAATTGTCTTTACCTATTTTTAAAGCTTTTTACTCAGAATTTAGGAGAGCTGTGTAGTTTCTCAGGATATTCATGCTGGTCTCTCAAGTAAAGCCTAATTAGGACTGATTTTTGCCTTTTAATTCTGCCTTCAGCTATTCCTTATGTTTCCACTTCCTCTCGATGGTCATAAATACAGCCTATGACCCTTTCAGGGTAGTGATTCCCTGTTAATTTGGTTTTAGAAAAGCCCCCCCATGTCCAACAGGCTAACTAAACCCACAGCTTCGTGCTGTGCGTGAAGGTCTCCAGGGACTGCAGTGAAATCATTAGCATTAGAATTGAAGCCAAAATTATACACTCCTACTGCAGGCAAATTCCCCCCCTCCAGTTGTTATACTGCTTTCTCTCAGACAGAAATGTATCTCAAATGCAACCCATTAGGATTGTGTATTTAAGGAAGCAGGTTTATGAGATAAACAAAAAGCAGAAGCCAACAACATGATCTTAATAAGAGCCATTAGGTGATCTCAAACAGAAACCAACTGCTGAAACACATCCTTTGCTTTTCCAAATTAGGTAGAGAGCCAACTAATTGCTGATCAATTTGCTTTTCAGATTACAGGAGTATTTCATGGTAATTTCTAAGTATCCCTTGTGAACTCACCTTGCATCAGGATGACCAACTACATTATTCAGGTTCCTATATCCAAATTGATTTAGCACTTTAACCACAAGCATTGGAGCCAAAGATTGGGCAGGCTTGGTAAATAAAGCATTGGTACCAAAAACCATAGAGGAAAGTGGTGATCTAAAATATTTAGGGGAAGAAACAAATTAATGCACGGCAAAAACTTACAGGAGTATTAAGTACAATAGTGATTTAAAAAATCCTGATAATATGCAAAGGCTAAATATCATGATCTTTATCTAGTTCACACGTTATAGCAAACATCTACTATCAGAATGAAATTTAAATTTATTTGAAATGAAAGCTAATGAACCTTGGGGGGTGTCTATATATATATATATATATGTATATATATAACTTAGCCTTGATTATAGAATTACTTGCACTCAGGTTCAACTTTGTGCACTTTGAGTAATTACTGGAGTTAGAGTGAAGAGTGCATGGAGAATTAATTACAACTTCAGGTTTTCTGTGCATGAGGCCAGAAAAGGAGGCAATCTTTTTCCTCATGGAAGCAACAGCTCTCACTTTTGAGGAGCCAGTTCTTCAACAGAGTGACCAGGGCTGTATCTGCACCTGCATAAACATTGATGGAACCAACAGAGACTTCTGTGCACTTTGGTAAAAATCTGAAAGATCCAAGAGTTGCAATCTGCTATGCCACAGCAGGTTTTATCACTTTTATTTCAGGGAGATAACGGCAACCAGTTAGACCTCGGAATTTGCACTTTAGGTAGCAGAGGCAAAGCTCTCTTAGGGCCTTTTGCATCTCCAAAAGGCCTTATTCAGAAAATTCCATAAATGAACAATAGATGTATATAGTTACAAAATAATTCAATTGAAGCTAACAAAAACAAACCCACAAGAATCAGAAGGACTTGGCTTAAATTACAGCCTAATAAAAACTAGAAGTTACATAATAATCTGTTTAAATTGCTGAAGTAACTGCAGGAAACTTTACTCAAGTTCTTATCTTTACTTATGTTAAGTTGCTCTTACAAAAAGTACTTCTGTTATCAAGGATCCCAGATAATTCTCTGCCTTTACTTTGACACAGTTTAACCCGGGGGAGAGTAAGAAGGCAAAGAGCACATTTACAGGAAACCAGGAAGCACTGACATACCTGCGCTTGTGCTTCACCAAATCTGCATCAACAATATCAGCCAAAGGCAAATTGAACAAACTGAAGGAGGCTTGGACAACAACCCTGAAGGAAAACAAAGGATTTCAGATGTTCACAGTTCTTATTTTCAGTTCCATAATAAAAATATAACTGGCATTCCGTAACACCCTCCTCCCGAGCACTGATATTTCCCCAAACACACAGAGCTGAGATGTTCTTTAAAACATGGGGATTTATCTGTTTAAGCAGGAAAACATTACTAGATCTGTTCTTAGTTGAGAATTAGAAATCAATATGCAAACCTAAAAGGTGGGGAGGTTTTTTTTGCTTTTTTTTTCCTGGACATTGGTGTAAAAGGTCATGAATACTTTGACAGTAAATGACATTATCAGTAAATGGCACTTAAAATGACCAAGAGAAAAGAAACACCTTAGAAAAAAGGGGAAACTGAAAATTTGCTCTTCAGATCTGAAAAGGGCATGAGCGTGGCTGGAAAGACCACATGGAAGACAAACTTCAAGGTGAGAGAATTAAAATACTAAGAATATTTTACATGCATTCTTATATATGTATTTACTGTGTATATATAGATATATCTATATACACACATATATATGCATTTAAACACACACAAAAAGCTGCTTCTTAAGAAATGGCTAAATTAAAATATAAACTCAAATAGTACAATTTCCACGTCTTATTAAAGTTTGGGTGGGATGAGACTTTACTAACAAGAGGCTTTGGACAAACAGCTCTTTAAACACAGAGTCTTTGGGTACCTTCGAATTTTTTTCCTGGGGAAATCAAAATACCTCTTCATCATTTAAAATATGCAGACAATGAAATTCAATTTACTGTTCACACAATTCAGTGTTACAGTTCTGTGACTGAAAACAAGAATGAAAGTGGGGGAAAAGAAAAGATGAAGTAAAGGAAGGCAGGAAAGAATGTGTAGAAAGACAACAATGAAATATAAAACGAAGAATTAAAATGCTGTAACATTATTCTGATACAAACAGCTCTTTATTTTTAAATAAGGTTTTCCATGTATCATAAGATACTTTTTTTTTTGAAGCAGAAATTAAAAGTTGAAGGAGAATAAAATAAAGCTGAGGAAAGTTGTAACTGGAGTTTCAACTTTTCTGACAAGGGAACCAGAATGAAGAGCATAAAAGCCACGGCAGAACCTTCATGGTACTAAAAGCAAATGTCCACTGGGTTAGAAGTACTCAAGCTGTGTCTGTGAACAGGGGAGTGTATTTACTTACATGTTTGTTGTGAGATAAAATGCCAACAGATAATAGTGTTCTTGCCCTAGAAAAAACATCACAGCAGCAGCTACTCCTTCGTAGTAAAAGGAAAACAGGATGACTCTGTAATAACCAAACTTCTTCAACGAAGCCTGACTGAGAAGAACAAGGCACTGAAAAGATAATATATACAAATAAAGGATGAAAAGTATAGCACAGTGTCTCAGCACCGGGAGAGCTCTAAAACACAGACCAGACACAGATTATTACCACCCATTAAAAAAACAAAACCCAGCCAACAGCCCTGTCTAGGAAATTCAATCCAAATAAAAAAATAGAAATTGAACAAAGAGGGCTGTCTGCTGGCTCATTCTGTGCTACCTCTACCAGGTACAGTCTCCTTCCACTCACAAACTGGCTGAGAGCTGCTACATGCCAAGGAAAATATTGTTTCCCACCTTGCCTAACTATTCTTTAATGCTCATGGTCTTTATTTTTTATGTCCCTTAAACAACTAACTTTGCAGTACGTTAACTGTAAACCAAGCACCTCACCATTTGAATTTTAACTGTTGATAAGAAATATTTTCAGCAATTGTTTTTTCATTAATATTGCTGTTTTCACTGATATTTATATAAATTAAGCATGACCCTTTAACTAAAAAAAAACAAACAACCAGCAAGCTCACCAAGATAGCTTTATCTAAGTAAGTCAGAGATTTTACAAGCAAAGAAAGGCAGATGCCAGAGGACAATGTGCACGGCTGAATTTTAATTTTGCCAATGGTAGCAAGCAGTAGATTCTGAGACTCTAATGACAGGCAAAGTCATGAAAATGGCATTAAGTGCCAAATACAATATGAACCACATGTAATTCTTCTATATTGTAATGAATTATGTTCTTTTTATTATATGAGCCCGTGGCACCATCTTCGTGTACGTGGTCCTCATCACTGTCACAAAAATACAAACTCATTACAGAGACACACATTTTCTCCTTTCTTCCGTGTTGCAGAGTTGGGCTGGGCAATATTCAGATGAAGAACAGGAAAGAATTCTCCTCCTACACTTGTTCCCACGTTGAAATGCTTTAACATAACAAATCAGCCCAGGATGCTCCGGTCACACAAAGATGACCGTGGCAAATGCCATTGGGAAACAGCTCAAGATTTCTACTCACACCCCTGATCAGGGAGGTAAAACAAATCTGGGAGGTTGATATAAGAAAAAAAATAATTTCCTTCTAAGAAACTTAAACATGCTCTTCCCCCTGGCTGTTTTCAGGGATTTTGGAGAAACGTGCCACGTAATGCCTGCTATTGTAAACACCACGATCCTGGCTCCCTGTAATTGCCAAACAACCCTGTCTCAGGAAGTACTCATGACTTGGAAAATTCCTTACTCCTTGCATGTTTCTAAGAGTGTGTATTTCCAAGGCAAATAGGAACTTAATGATGCAAATTCAGATTTGTTTGCCTATGTTTCAGCAACGTTTTTCCTTGTAGGCAGGTTGTATTCTTCACACCCAACTACTACAAAGGACCTAAAGCAGAAGCTGAATTCTAGTTTGGTAGAGGCCACTGAAGCAGAGTTCATAAAAAGGAGCTTTATTTTACACAGTTTGACTGTTTTTCTAGTAAGTGAAGTTCAGGACATTGCCATCAGAGAATTCTCTTATTATATCTTGAGCTCAAAGGGACAAAACCTGAGAAAAATAAGGTCACAGCAAACTCTCTATGGTTCAGTGACCTTCTAGACAAAGAGTCTCTGGGGAGCAGGGAGACACATTTTCTGAAAGATTGGTCGTTTGACACTGTCACACTGATTTTATCAACAAAAGTGATTGCTATATAGTTAGTGTAACGCTATTTAAGATTTCCTGTTTTCTGTAGTTTCTGATTTATTTCCAAAGTTCATTATCTAATTGAATCACAGGGGAAAAAACTCCAAACTATTAAACCTGTGATAAGGATAAAAGCTGAAATTACAGGAGTTATGGAACAGAGGAGGTATGTTGAGGGTTTCTTTGTTATATAAGCAAAAGCCAAAATGGCAACTGAAACTGAGCTGTGAATTCCAGTTACACTTTCATTTGTCTTCTTATAGATATTACTTACCAATTTAACGAATGTAACAGCCTGGTTTTGAGAAATTCTGAACACCATCAGCCCCTATGATGAACATCAGGATACTCAGATGTTGAGTATCGTGGCTTTCAACATCCAGCAAGTAAACACAGTGAAAGTTTTAAAACATCCAGAGAGAGGAGTTAGAAGGGAATGAACAGAAGAATTTTTTGTTCACTGCAGACAAGTATGTTTACATTCTGTGGGATATATTTTTGCTGCTTTTCTTGTTCTCATACATTACTCTTTTGGGTTCTCTTTCTCTTTTCCAGTTCATTACTCCTCTCCCCGCTGGGCTCTTAAAAGCCCGTCTCTCTCTACCCTATAAATGTAGCTGACCAAGAGAGCAAACAACAAAATACACGGGAATGCAGTATTCTCCAAAAGCAGCTCTTTAGAGTTTTGTTTGGTTTCCTTGACTGAGATACCACATATTTCAACAAGGCTTTTAATTTTTTCTGGTATTTCGTGCAGTTTATCTCAGAACCTTCCTGAAGAAGGGATTAGTCTTTCTTCTGTAATACACATTATTACAAAACAGAACCAAAGAAAAAAGAATTCAGAATTCTGTAGATTTTGCTTTTAGAAACATTTTATCTTGACCATGTTTTTCATTCCTTTATACTTAGGTATTATAAACCCTGTAGGATACAAAACATTCATTCCTTGCCTACTCATTTCTCATATTGTTCTAAACATTCTATCAGCCTGCTTGTCTGTTCTCACTACCCCTTACACTTGGGCAGCCTGGAAAGAGGGACTTTTTTCTTCTAGAGCACTGCTGAGCCAGATTTGGTTTTCATTTTGGCCAGTGGCTTCTGCCAGACACAGCATTTTGTCACGTGTTAAATGGATATTGCAAACTAGTAATGCACCAGGTTTTCATACTTTAAAATAAAAACTGCCTACCTGAGGACAAATAAAACCCGCTCCATACATGATACTTCTGACTGAGGAAGAAAGGACATCCGTAGGAATAAGATTATCCGCAAAGATTATCATGAAATTGTTGTAGAAGGCCAGGTGGAAGACTTGGAAGAAGTTCATCGTGACAAAAAACAAGAAGTTCTTCTCTGTCATAATCTGTTTGGTCAAGGAAACCACTGAGGCCAAGGAGAAAGCCCCCTCGCTGTTTTCCAGGTTAGCACTCTCCACGTGAATTTCTCTCTGCTCATACTGACTGGTGCTGTATTTACCCGTGCAGCACATGCAGGCCGTCGCCAGTGCCGCGATCAGAACAGCGAAAGCCTGGAAGTAGGCAAAGTTGTCCATGTTATCTGACACGAGCCCACAGAAGAGGATGCTCGTGGCTCCAACCAGCGTGGCCACCTGGTTGTACTTGATGAGCTGCAGCCTGCTCTCGTGCCTGCTGGAGCTCTCGGCAAAGAGCGCGCACTGCGCCAGGAGCACAAATGTCAGCAAACCATCGAAGGCACACAGGGACACCACGAGGTGGAAGCCGCACAGCCAGTCCCCCTCCTCGTAGTGCTTCCAGGGGAACCACGGCAGCAGGAAGGCCAGCCCGTACAAAGGAGCTCCGTACAGAATCGAGAACTGGCGCCTGGCGCAGCAGCGGAGTTTGGAGTTGTCTTGGATGTAGCCAAAGAGAGGATCGTTGATGGCGTTCCACACCATAAACACAGCCTGCCACAAACAAGGCACACACAAGGGGATTGAGCCTACAGAGGTTACAAAAACACAGAAGTAATACACGTTTATTTAAAATAAATCTCTATTTGAAGAAGAAATAAAGATGAAAGCTCCTCTGGTCAAAACAGACTAGATCGAATTCTTAAAGACTTTTACGGGTTTATAGAAGTCTTGATAAAATAAGGTGACTAAGTAGGCAGGTGGTGCCCAAGTACATGTGAAATAAACTCCTTGTCTCCGAGACTTCACTCTTTCAAACCCTTATATATCTGGGCTTTCATCCTGCAAAGGCCAGATATTACTCTCCCAGCGAGTTAATTCAAAACACGAGCTGGCCCATTACTTTCAGGAGACCATTTACGACAAGAGTTACTCACGTGGATAATGACTCCCAGAATAAATGCAGTGTTTAAGTACTTAAACAGTCCATAGGAAAGCACTAATGTCAAACTTATCTATGGAGCTGAGATGCAAGATCAGTTTAGAAAATTACTACGAGCTATCAAAGTTAAAAATCTTTTCAGCAATTAAAGCCTGGTGATTTTCACTCTATAGACTCTTAACGATGTGCTTTACGTGTACTTTCAGTTGCTTATGGATTAACTAAATTCAACGTTAATTTACTGTTAGTTCTTTACAATGCACCCAAAATTAATTTGTCAGGAAAAAAAAAAAATCACTTTGTTGTAACAGCACAGATGCACAGCACAACGTGGCAATCAGAGTATTCCACTGCACAATACCTGTGCTTGATTAAAGGCTCCTTCGGAAATTTTGTAGCGGTTCAGGAAAAGCTTAACGTAGTAGAAATTAAAGATACTGTTCATCATTCCAGCCCCTAACGTAGTCATGGAATAGGTCAGAGCATTGGGATGAATTCCCCAAACAAACTTCATCTTCCAAGAGTACAGCTCTCTTCCTCCTTAAGTTACAAAAGAGAATTACAACAGTTAGAATACTTTTCCAAATTAAAATATCATGGGGGATTTGCTTGTTTCAGAGGTGTGGAAATGGAGGAAATTTCTTCTTCCTTCCTTTTCTTTTAAATGAGAAATACATTTTACTGAGCTATAAGACACTGAGCCTAAAACTGAACAGATGAAAAATAATAAGTCAGTGCTTAAAAATCAATGGAATAAGTTGTCAAAAATTCAAGAGTCCCTTCCTAACTGGTGCACAGACTCCATTTAAAACCTGCTGTTGCAAACACTCATGCTGGTGTAAAGGTCAAAGTAATTGCATACATTTTAGATCTTTCTTGCTAGCTGTGTATTCTTAAAATTATGGACTGTGTAGGAATGAAGTGACTCATATCCTTATGTATTCCACTGCTGCAGCATGCACATGGGTGAATATTCAGAGGAATATTTCCTTCAAAGCAAATACCAAGTTTTGCCCTTCTATTTTTAAATGTTAATTGTTAACAAGCCATGGAAGCAATACTTTCACCTAATAAACCATAAAACAATCAAAACACCTTTTAATTAACATTTTCATTGTATAGAAGACTGCATGTAAATAAAACCTAGCAAGTAACAGGTACAGCATTTTAAGTATGTCCAAATAACAGGAGATTCAGCCCAAGAATACAGATTTCTTTGATCTATCAATCAGATAGCCAGCCAACAAATTTATAAGATGCTGACTTTTTCCATCTATCCAGCAATTAATTAAGCATAAACAGACCCAGGTCCAGGGAACCTCTGCCTTTTAGATCTGAGTAATGACTACTTGATGTGGACCTTGACCATATTTGATGCTGTAAGCCCAACACAAAAATACTCCCAAGCCTGTGGGTTTAGCTGAGGCTTTATTCATCTTTACATCTGTTGAAGGAGGCTGTCACTGATTTCAAGTCCAGATTTCAGCCTTACTATGCACATGAACTCAGAGCTTTACTACCTGCTTTTTGTCAATAATTCACACTTTGCCCCTCTGCATATTAAGAATTTTATCCTAAAGTGCAATTTTCACATATCCATCAAAACACCCAGTTTGAATATCCGCTTGATCAGCAGATCTGTAAACAGCTCCCTGAACTCCTCATAAAAATAACCAGGGAAGAAACAGGAAATGAAAACCAAGGCTATTTCCAACCTTCCTGTGGTTTACAAGACAGGCTGTTGTGCACAAAGGTGAGAACTTCCCAATCACCAGGTAAGGGCCAAGCAAAAGCCACAAATCCAGCAGGAACTGGAGAAGATGGAACAGTTTTCCCACCCCCCCAACACAGAGAATGAACCCTTGAAGAGCAAATAAAGTGTGGATACAGTTTTGCATATAGATGTAAGATGCTCTGATATGAACCACGATGCAAAGAGTAGATGACTTCACAGGTAAGAAAAAAAATCAAGCTGGCAAATAACTTAAACCTAAGCTTCTTTAATTAAAGCCAATTTATTTCTAAGAATATGACTGCTTTTTTAAATAACTGAGGATGATTGTGATGTAGTTTATTTTTTCACAGAGCTACAGCTATAGAGACAATTCCACTTTCAGGGAACGGAATTTTACATTTTTGTAGCAAGTTTGGTTTCACAAGCTTTTGCCGAGAAACCTAAAATGAAGAATAAGGTTATTGAAAGGGTGCCCAATTTAAATGCTCATTTTTAAAAATAAATGTTATATTAACATGAAAATCACTACAGTGAATGTATTGACACATGTCATATTTGCTTTTTCAAGCCTCCACAAATACATTTAATGAAGTGATTTATATAATAGATATTAGGACTTTTGGAACAGGTCTTCCAGTGGAGAATTAGGAGACTGCCCTTTCCTCCAAATTCCACGAGCACCAAGAAATAATGATGTGCTTCACACTAACATTACCAGCGAACAGCTATTGCTCAAATCACCTTTGACTCAATTCCTTCCTACACAAAAATAAAGGTCCCCTCAATGTCAGAAAAACTGAAAGAAATTTGAAATTTCTTCAACAAAAAAATGCACAAACAGGCCTCTAATGTCGTGACTAATTATAATATGCAGGATCTGACACAACTCTTTACACTAATTGGTACATTTGGCCCTGCCCCCTGTTTATGAAATAGGTTCAATTAGAAGTTGAGGTACCACACTTCCTTTCCCAGATGTTGTCTTTAATAGTACTACAATGAAATCATGCATGAGCATCCCCTCCCTCTTCTTAATAGTCAGCCTTTATATTGAGCAGGTTAAAGCACAGGTGTTGACATTGCGTGACTCACAGAAGGCAAATCGGTTTCAGAAATTTCTGGTGGTTGCAACTGTGTTAATACACAGGAGCCCAAAGGACGGGCTATTTGAGAGACGCATTACCTGCGCCTCTCCCAGCGCCGGATGACAACTGCTAAAAGAAACTAGAGCACGACTCTAAAGGAGAAAAGTGGATCCCAGGAGATAATAACAAATGTTGGCTGAGGCGCGCTAGACATCCTGCTCAGTGCCGGGTCCCAAACCGCTGTGCAATGCTCACAGTCCTGACGGACTGGCTGGACACCACGACCTTCCTCATCTTTCTGACGTGACCTGCACCACATTAAGGGAGAGCTAAGAACAAACGCTGCCCCTGTCCCGAGGGGTGACACTGAGGGGCGATGCTGCCGGAGGTGCCCTCAGAGAGCCCCTGGCACAGCCGGGCTGTGGCACCGCCCGAGCGCCCGCTCCGCCCGGGGGCTGCGCTCCTGCCGGCCACGCAGGGCTGAGCGTCTGGAGCCGCTCCTCCGCCAAAACCGGGCGAGCCAGGCTCGTTTCAGCTCGGCAGGTCCCCGGACGGAGGACACGGCTCCCTCCTCCTCGTGAGGGAGAGCCGAGAGCGGGGGGCGACCGCCCCGAGCGAGGCGCGGGGATGGAGCCGGCGCTGCTCGGACTGACCCTGCACCACGCTCTGCCCTGCCCTGCCCTGCCGCACTCCGGGCTCAGCGGGGCGGCTGCCCGCACCTGGGCGCCCCGCCGGGCCCCTCCTCACAGCCTCTCCCCTCAGCGCTCCCGACGCGGAGCGACCACGAGCCCCGGCTTCCCCTACGCCGAGTCGCGGTGCCGCGCCGCCGGCCGTGCCGGCCCCGCTCCGCCGCAGAGCCGGCGGACACCCCTCAGCAGCCGCTCCCCGCCCGCGGCCGCTCCCAGCGCCGAGCACCGCAGCCCCCTGCGCGGGCACCGACCCACCTCCTGTGGCGGGGGCTGCGCACCGCGCGGCGGGGCGGGACCTCATCGGCCCGGGCCAGCCCCCTCTCCGCTCTCATTGGCTGCTCGGAGCTCGCTCGCTCTGTGATTGGTGCGGGCTCCGGTCGATCTGCCCGGCGGGCGGTTCCCCATTGGCCGCGCGCCGGGGAGGCGAGGGTGCCGCGTTTGAATCGCGGGAGGCGGGGGGCGGGCGGCGGCTCCTGCCACGTTGCCGCCGGCGCAGCCCGGCCAGAAGGGGGAGAGGTTCGGCAAAGTCCGGAACCGCTCGGCAATGGCCGGAGGCGGCTGCTGAGGCGGGGAGAGGCTGCCGGGCTCGCCCTGCCCCGCTCGGCGCGAGGGCGATCGTCGGGTGGGCTCCGCCGCCGCGCCCGCCCGGGAGGGGAAGGTGCGCGATGCTGGCCGACAGCCTGGTGGAGGAGTTCGAGATCCGCGAGGATGAGCCCTGGTACGACCAGCAAGACCTGCAGCAAGGTGAGCCGGGACGGGGGAGAGCGGGGAGCGTGTGAGAGAGGGGTTGCGGAGAGCCGCGTGTGTAAGGGGAGGGGGCGCGGCGAGTGGGGTGTGTGAGGGAAGGGGCCGTGGGGATCCGCCTCGGGGCTGCGTGAGGGAAGGGGCTACAGCGAGCCGCGTGTGTGAGGGAAGGGGCGCGCAGAGCCGCGTGTGTGAGGGAAGGGGCCGCGGGGGTGTGTGAGGGAAGGGGCTGGGGCGGGGAGGGCGTGTGAGGGGCGGAGGGGAGACACCGGCCCGGCGGGCGCGGAGGGCGGCGGGGAGGGCGGCCGGGGTCGCGGGGCGGCGGCGGGAAGGGCGGGTCGTGCCGGGCTCGGGGGGTCCCCGCACGGCCGCGCTGCCCGCCCCGCGGGATCGCTGTCACCGGGAGAGGCTGCGGCCGCCTTTGTTTGAGAGAAGGAGCCGCCGCAGCCCAGCGCGGTCGTGCCGGGGTCCCTCTCCGGCCGCCGGCAGGGAAGAGGCTCCGAAAAGTTGCACCTTGAACGGGAGGCGAAGCGGCTGCTGCTCGGGGCGGGCGCTGGGAGCAGCGGGGTGGGATGCGCTATTGCGCCCTGTTGAGCTCTTTGTAAGGGCTTCCAGTTCGGTGGAGGTGTAGTTGTAGCAGTGCTCGATTAGTTACAAGTGTCTTATTAAAATCTTTTCAGGTTTTCTCATTAAAATACACAAATAACTCCGCTACACCTCAGGATTCTACATTTCTAGCTCCTGTATGTCATTCCATCAATAGGTCTTAAAACATTATATGCAAGAGGCAGATCCTGTTCTCATTTCACAGATGCGGAAAGAGCCTCAGGAATACAAGTATAATTGCACTAAAAATCTTCAGCAGGCATGATATGGAAAGAATGTGCAATTTCCTTAAGAGCTTAGTGGCATTTATGACTGGTATTTAGTTGGTTCTACTTTTCGTTGTTAATCCCGAGTTTGTTTTAAAAGGTCAGCTCGAAGCTGTGAAGTGGCTTCCTACAAACCCACTCCAGTCTTATGCTTTTTGCTTTTTGCTTGAAATACATTAATTCTTGGGGTCGCTGGGTGCTGCTGTTCTGTAAAGCATAAGGAAAGCTAAGCTGTATTCACACTGAGATCGGGCATCTGACAGCAGAAACTTTGTTTTGACACAGGAACAGGTCTCTCTGATTGTCTGCTGTATAAAATATCTAACTGTTTGAAAGCTGTATTTAGATACTCTTTGCCTGAAATAGATGTTTTCCTGGCTGTAGGATACAAACAAGTCAGTTTAAGATCCTGAAACCATAGTTTGCTGTCAAAGAGAGATGAAAATTTGAAGCAATGTTTTTACTGTGTCAGTGTTTATGGGATAGAAGACCTACAAAGAGATTTCACAATGTATAACAACTGACTTCTTGCTTTCTTGATGTTTCTTTACTTTCATCTCTTAATTAAAAAGAGTGAAATAATCACCAGTTGACTCTCTGTGAGCTTTTAAGGAACACTATTCCATTCTCGAGGTTCATGCGCTCTCACCATGTGAACAACCCTTTTTCTGGGGATTCTCTCTTTAAGCCTAAATGGACGTGACTAACAGCCTTGCCAAAAGGGAAAGGAGGAAAATAAACACATGGGCAGGTTGAAATGCAACGAAGAAGCTCCTTACAGGAATGCTGCACTTTATTTCTGGAGTCTGAGAGATGAACTTCCTCGTCCTAAGCCTGTGCTGTGCCGGTGTACATAAACAGGGGAGTAAGATTGCTTATCACGGCTCGTGAAACTCCTCACAAGCCAAACAATCAGTGCATGTTTAAAAACAGCAGTAGGTTTATGAGAAAAGCTGGGTTGTAAAACCTTAGAAAGCACACAGAAACAAACTTGTAGCCCTTCTCAGCCAGCCTTTGAAAGTTAATATTAGGGTAGGGTTTTGGAAAACCTTGACAGTCTGTACATACCGAAGCTCTTGCCTTGACAATGGAGATGGGATTTTCTGGCATGCTGTTCATGAAAACAGAATGCTGATGGAATTCCTGTAAGGATGAGAACAGCCATCCTTCTGCAGTGTCCAAGTTTTGCTGCAGTATGCTGACCTTTGAGAAAGAATTCTTTTATATGGCTGCTCTTCTTACATCTTGTTGTTACTCACTTTTACAGAACAGAGAGTATTCTGAATATAGAAGACATGAAACCATGTAAAAAAAAAAAAGAGTTTAATTTTACAGTTAAGTAAACCTCAACAAGGCTTATTTATATATCTTGCACTACTAATGCCTTTTGCTATTTAAAAGAAAAGGCTTAATTTTAGATTGAAAATTCTCTGAATAATTTTGCTAGGTGGGCTATGAAAAAGTAGAAAAGAAGGATTTTGGTACTGTTTTTATCTCTTTTTCAATTATAGTAATGCTGTCAGAGGAGAGTGTGAAGTGCTGGTAAGTGAAGGCTGTTCAACATCACGGAAGACGTATCCTTGAAGTCTTGTTTTGTTTCAGAGCCTTCTGATGAGGCTGTTAAACTCCAGCACAACTAATCAGATTTACTAAAACGAAGATCTTAAGATCTGCACACAGGCAGTTTGCATTATTAAAAACCTCTCTGCTTCCCTCTTTGTGGTGAAAAGGAAAAATGCATGTCTGTGTCAGAACTTAGCTGTTGCTTTACATAAATTTACAACAGAAAATGCAGTGTGCTTCCAGTGTTCTACAGTAACTCTCTCAAGAGAAATGTAAATGAACAGTTTTCCTTCTGTATCTGGAGAACATGTGTATTACACATCTCTCATTGTAAAATTTGCTCTTTATAGGGCTTAGAAATACTTAACAATGCAGGAAAAAGGACACAAAGCAAATTCTTCATTTTAGAAGAGGTGAATTATTTCAGGTCTTGCTTTCCCTGCAGTTCAGGTTTTACTGTGTGTTCCTGAGCGCTTCCACCCGGATTCTCCCCCTCAGAAACAAATTACCCTAATTATAAAATAGCAGGTTTCTCCCATCTGTGCTTCTGCCAGTCTAATAAACAGAATGTGTGTAAGTATGACATGAATTTTGTTATCCAGCCTATCCCAAGGACCGTGTGGTATGTGCTACTTGATTTAGGAGGTGATGGGGCATTCAAGAATGAAACTCTAAACTCTTATATGCACTTAAACATCAAAACAAACTTTCACTTTGGGAAGGGAAATGACAGCAAGTAATTCCATTATGCATTATGTCTTTAACATAATCCTAAATCCTCTCTAAAGCTCTTATTCTACTCTATTAAAATAAAAGAATGGACTATTTAGTCTTTGCCCTGAATGATGCCAGTATTGCAGACTAGTTGTAAAGATTGTAGCTCCTAGTAAAGATCTGTGTAGTATGAGAACTTGGGAATTGGGACTCCATTTTCTATAGGGTAATGGATTTGCTGGATTTGCTGTAATGTGACAGAACAAACATCTTGGTTTCTGACTGGGAGTTACTCTGTCCATGGGTAAACAATATGAAATCTGTTTACAAAATGGGAAAAATTTAAGTAGGACACCTTAAGATTTCATTATCCAAGTACTTCAAACCCAGCTCTAGCATAGGCTGTGTTCCTTAAGGAGTGGTGCTGTGTGAGGATAACCTCCTAAATAGAGCTCAGTGTGCCATGGGGCTCCTCACTGGACATCTTCAGAAACTCTGAAGAACTCCCATGCAGTGGGATTTCTTTGAAATATTTTTGTGGCATTGATGCTGAGAATCTGACCTTAAGGTAGGAAACAAGGCACTGGAGTTGTAAGAGAGAGTGTAAAAGAGTAGCACAGCTGTTGTTTTGCCAGAGTTGGACATCTGGAACTTTACAGACAAATGTTTGTACTCACTTGTCCTTGTAAGTCTGAATTTGGTCTTTGGTTTATGTGGGGAGATGGAGTAATCCTTTTGGCCAGGCTGTCCAACTGAAGGTTAGCACAAAACAATCCTGGGCCAGGGCTGGATCTGTTACAATGCCAAGCTGATAAGATAATTGTGAAGGGGCAGGAAAGACATAACATGTTAAAACAAGGGCATTGCAATCAAGTGAAAATGGAATGCATTTTCTGCTCCAGCTATAACTACTGATGATAAAATACATCTCTCGTTTATTAATTTAGGTCTTGAAGTGAATCAAAGTTTTTCTTGACTTTTCTTCTGTCTCTCTGCCATTACTGATGGAAGTTCTATGTGAAAACTAACTAGGTTGTATTGTGGGCATGCAGGTCACGGTCCAGGCGAGGGGAAGGAGGTAGAAAATTGGAGAGTTTTAGAAATCTGTTGGATTCTTAACATGTAATAATACCCTGCACAGAGTAATTACAATTTTAGCAATAACACCAAAATGTATTACTTTGTCACATTATGTTAGCTTTTAAATTACACATGTTTTTAAACATAATAATGTAGAATATCTTGCACTATTGATGCTGCTGAACAAATATCTTCCCTCTAGAATGGAACTGAGAGTTCAGATGACTTATTTCTTAATTTGCAACAACTACAGTCACTGCACCCTGGAGGTGATTGAAGATGACTGGAGTGAAATTGAGATTAAGTGCCTGAGAACAAATGACATTTAAAATGATGTTTTGGAGCACATGAAACAATTCTCGTCACCTGGGTTTATGAGCTTGAAAGGCAGAATAGCTGCATGTCTTCATCAGTTTTATGTCTTTTGATGTTGCTCTTTCACCATAAGAAAGCACCTGAAACTCTCATTTAGCCGTTTGATCCCATGTGGCCTGAGCTGCCTGGGGAAGGGGTACGGGGAGGAAGAGCAGAGCAGGCAGGAGTGCAGTCAGCTCTGGCCTGGCTGTAGCCCAGGGGACATTTGCAGGGTCTGAGTGCTGTAAATATGGTGATGGAGCAAAGAGCCCCCTGGGGCAGAGCTGCTGGAGCAGCACTGGGCAGGCTGTGGGAGCTGAGCATGGCTGGAGGTGTGCTGCAGCACCTACGGAGGAACTAAGGCAGCTTCATGAAATAAGAGTGTGTCCTGGGCTCCAGGGCTGACTGACACTTGCCTTACAGATGATACAGGAATGCTGTACTAAAGTCTAAGCTCACTTTCTTTTGGGGGAGGGGTTATAATGGCAGTAAAAAAAGTACCTCGAGTATCTGATTAACATGCTTTAAAATCAGATTCTATTATTGTTTCTATCACTTACCTGCAAACGTGATTCCTTTGTTTAGACCTTCACCTTGCTGCTGAGCTTGGGAAGACACTGCTGGACCGTAACACTGAACTAGAGGAATCCTTGCAGCAAATGTATGCAACAAACCAAGAGCAACTGCAGGAGATAGAGGTAAAATATCTCAGGGATCCAAATGTTAAGGCATCTAGAGCTGCAACATAATAGTTAAAATCTGAATTTCTTGACATTTGATGGAAAATACTGAACAGTCTTTCACCACTTCTGCTGCTTTGAGAATCTGAGAAGCTGTATAGGTTGATCACAGTTAGAACTGTTTCTCTGATTACCAGAATTTTTGTGCCATTAAATGCCATTAAATCCCATGGATTGGGCTTGTTTAATGAGAAATGATTGGTATTTTTCTTTTTTGTACACAAAAGTCACTTCAGTTATTTTTATTGCTAAACTTTGCTGATCTTGCCAGGTAAAATGACATTAAGTTATATGATGATAAATGCTTTAATAATTTAAATTATTATATGAAAATCTTAATGGTTACTGCACTGAAATTTAAATGCTGATAATGCAGGAGAGAGATTTAAGTAGAATCTGGGGATAGGTGCTTCCACTAAACTGAGGTAAAGGGGTAAAGGAAACTAAAGTCTATTTCAATGTAAAAAAACCCTGTACAATGACCAAAAAAAAGCCAACAAACAAATAACAAAACCCAGAAAATACCCCACTTAAATAGTATCTTAGTATAGGACATGGTGGATATTTTGTTCTGCATTTTCCAAGGAAAATAAAACCCAAAAACGTATCCATCCTTTCAGAGCCTTTCATCTTTGTGTAACAGGGTGGAAAATCCTGGCCATCTTTGGCAATTTCTTTTTTTAATTTTTTATATTGCCTGTGTTCTTGCAGGCCTGGCATTTGTCAGCCTAATGAGATTTTTCCAGCTATTAGAGGGCAATGCATGGTCTCTAATAATTAAATTATTAAATATTCAGTACTTTGCTGACTGACAAAATATTGAAAATGTAGTCAGCATTTCAGTTTGGTTCTGGTATGAATCACAGGAGTCAGGCTGTGACTGGTCCATACCAGATTTTCACCAAATCTGAGTTCTTTGTGCAAGCAGCACTTCTGCATTTACAGATGGGAGGTGGGTTTTGTACAGCTGCAACTTCAGACTCAAAGCCCTTACTACTGTGATGGTAACTTAAAGAATTCTAAGCTTAATACTTACAGCTATATAGGTGTCTTTAGAGTCGTCATCTTAACACAAATACAGCATTTTTATTAAGTGATGAACAATTTAGAAGATATTTTTGGTTTGTATTTCCTACTTTGGCTCTTACCTCTATTTTGTGCTAAATGTCATCTTTGTTATCCTGTTCATTCTGACACAATGGTTGGAAAGGCTGATATTTATATTAGTGCCACAGCATTAAAAAATGTATTTACTTATGCAGAGACTGAAAATAACTCATTGCCTTGAATAGTTCTTATAAAGAGATCAATTCTAAAGACCTGGAGAAGACAAACACTTCCAAGGTGCTATACAAATACTGTACACAGGGTTCAACACCTGCATGTACAACCATGTTTAAGAAAGTGTTAAACACAGTTACAACACACCTTTTGAAATAACACACCATAACTTTGTGATAACTGACCTGGCTCAGGGAGTGGGGCTACTTAATCAGCAGCTGCATTTAACCACTGTCTTGAAATATGGAAAATACATAATTGCTAAGCTACATTGATTTACAGAAATAATCTAGTGCTATTAAGAATGTAACATCCTGTTGGTTTAAGCCAGTTTATTTGCTTAAGCTGTTCTGGTGGGTCAGTGTTTGTTGACTACATAACAGAGCCTCAGCACCAGGAAGTGTCACCAGTGTCCTTCCAGCAGTGATCTATAACTGCTGTGTTTCAGGGTCAAGTACTTCTCTGGTCACACCACCTCACACAGGACAGATTAATTTTTCCCCTCAAAATCCTACTTTGGCAAGACTTGGTCAATAGTACTTTTTGAAGGCTTTATCTGATACCTCCTTGTTCTCTTTCCTCCTCTCCCCCAGCGAGGGTAGGAGATGTATATTGAGTTGTCCTAGCAGCTCCCAGAGGGAGGGAGAGGGAGAACAGTTTTTGGGGTGCTTCTGACAGATAAATAGTGCCTGTACCTTCATTTGCCCAGCTGATTGTGTTGAGTCACAGAACCTTCAGGCTGTACTCCTCCCTGCTGCAGTAACGTGCTGTCTTCAGTTCAACCACCCCTCTCTCAATCTTCTGTCTTTCCTCAGTCCTGTTTAAAAGTGTAACAGCAACACAAACCTTTTTTTTCTCCAAAGAAGTTTCTCTTGCCTCTGGATTTCTGGTAGAAAAGGGAAAATGACCCCCCTGTTCAAACACCCAGAGAGAGCCCCCAGCTGAGGAACTGAATGCATTGGCTTATTGGCACAAGGAATTGTTCCAGGCATTCCTGAAAGAAATGGCAATAGAGTTGGTATGTGCAAGGTGTAAGCACTGTGCTGGTCAAAGCAGTTCAGCCTGTGATTTTCATGCCTATGTTCCTGTCCTGTGGGAATGCAGGATACCCCAGTGCACAGGATACACGTGCAAATAGCATATCCTGTCTCTATTGCTTGATTTTTCCCAACAGTCAAGTGCTTGTCTCTGTAACCTAAATGTGATCTTTCAGCTGCTCCTGTAGCAGCTGAATTTTTTTTTTTACTAGCTTTTTCAATGCAGTATATCCTTGTAAATCTTTGGGGTTTTTTTGCCATTAATTCAGTTCTTATGGGTAGCAAAGTCTAGAACTGGCTAAGAAATAATTCTGAAGTATGGCACTATCTTGTCTGCACTGAAAAAGAAGGGTCAAAGGCTGTGGTGTGCTTAAGATTACATCTCATATATTAAATGCTAACATATTAAGCATTTTACAGCTCTGCATCATTATGTCTGCCCTCTGTGCTGACACGTGTGCCACTGACTAATCACTGTAGATGTAATAAATGCTGGATTGAAAGGGCAACTCCATTCCTGTCGGAATCTGCTCTCAGCACTCAGACTTTGGAAATACTGACACTCTCCTTTTATCATGTGGTAGAAAGCAAGAAGTCTCATCTGCTGCTTAATTTTAGGTGCTCAGTTGCAGGGGAGGTGGATTAAATGTGAACTTCTGAAGTATTTATTACTACATCATCTTTTGGTGGTCTGATTTATACCAGGCCAACCTGACACCAGCCCTGAAGATACTGGAGATGAAAGGTGGAGAAAGTGATGCTTCACCTCTTCCATTCATCTAAAGCTTGTGCAAAGTCTCATTGTGATCAGTGGTGAAATCTATTGGAGCACCACAGCCTTGGCTCCTCTGCTCAGCCACTCTCCTAGTCCTGAAGAAAGTCTGAGGATCTCCAGCTCCTTCCTTCAGCCATAACCAATAGGGAAAGTTAATCTGAAATGGGTCACATTGAGATTCTGCTGCTAATCTATGTTCTATTTTGGTGTAAATCCTCTGTCATGTGTGCCCAGGCTACAAAAGGATCTAGCTACCAGCTATCATGCAAGTCTGTATGCAGCAATTACTAGTCCTAGATTAACTTATTATCTGTTCTTAAATTGCCTAAAATGTAAACCCACCAATCTTCTAATGAGGTAAAAGGTTAAGTAGAACATTAGAAGTTTTGAATATGTCAGAGGCCTGTGTAAAGAGAGGTAATTCTGCCTAGGAGTTTGCTGGATGTTTCTTCCTGAGCTCTGTTTTTCAGTAAGTAGCATTTAGTAATACAGAATACATTGCAAGAAATAAATTGTACACAAGAGCAGAATATTTCAGATTTAGAGGGTTAGTTTTTTTGCTCAAGTCTGTGCAAATGCTCATGTCCTGGGTGGGACAATATGAGGCACTTGTATTGAGAGCATTAGGTGATTGTTAACTGCTCTTAGGCTGAGATTTCTAAGCTTTCTGACATTATTCAGGAAACTTAACAGCCTGTGTTGCTAACTGTAAAACCCAAGAGGATTAAATTGAGAATACTTCAGTGAAGCTTTATTTTTTAAGAAAGGCCAGGAGGCCTTTGTTTGGGATTACAGTAACTGGAATAGTTCACTTTGAGTAATTAAAGATTGAATTCAATAATTTGATTATACTGCCTGACACACATTAACCCACATACTTAAGTGTGACCACAACCTAAATTCTGTTGTGCTGAACCTGATGCTGCTTCAGCCTGGAAGAACTTAGGTTAGCTAAAAATAATTTTAATTATGGATGGTGCTACGCAGTATTTCAGTTTTAGTGCTAAGAGAGTTATGGTTAGAAAATTTCTGTTGGAGCTCACAGAAGAGTGGCAGCTCGTGTTTGCAGCGTGACCCACTAACAGCAGCGCTGTCTTGCAGTACCTCACAAAGCAAGTGGAGCTCCTGCGCCAGATGAACGACCAGCACGCAAAGGTCTACGAGCAGCTGGATGTGACAGCAAGAGAACTGGAGGACACCAATCAGAAGCTGGTTGCAGAGAGCAGAGCTTCACAACAGAAGATATTAAGGTAACAAACTTCAGCCCTCCCCCAGCTGGTAAAAATCAGTGGGAGCAGTGCAGGTGTGTTTGTGTAGCTATGGGGGGGCTGTCCCTGCCTGGCAGTGTGCCACGATACTGGTAAATTGAAAGGACAGTTCTATTTAAAAGTCTTTCCACCTTTTAGCTTGACAGAGACCATTGAAAATCTACAAACTCACATAGATGACCTGCAGCGACAAGTAGAAGAACTGAAGAAGCCTGGCCGAGGCCGGATGAGCCACGAGAGGTCTGACCAGCCCAGATCGATGCACAGCTTCTCCTGTCTGAAGGAGCTCTATGACCTGCGCCAGTAAGACTTCTACCTTACCTGGGAAAGAACAGTCATGTTATTTTAAGCAAGGCTTTAAAAACTAAGGCACAAGCACAGGTATGAGAGAAGCTAGCAGAAAAATTAGGTGATGTTCACAAGCAGCAAACTTGTGTCACAAGACACAGCAAACAGGCTGTTGTGTCTGGGCTTCAGCATTACATGGAGGTAGAATATTTTATATATTCTACTCTAGAATAAATCTGTACATCCAAAATGAAGTTATTTCTTGACAATTGAAAGGATAAGTCAAGGCTTCAAGCTGCCAAAGGCTTGTGAGAATGCCATCCTACAGAATTGCCTTGTCAGTTCTGAAGCTGCTTTCTGCCATCAGCAGTGACAAAAGTTACAAGAGTGGAGCACTGTGGAAAAAAACAGTGTCGAAGTACTGCATGCTACACTGAGGCAATATTTATTTAAACTTAAACTGTAGGTGTGCTTATTCTATCAGCTTGTCTGTTTTACTTGAAACTGATAATGAGCTGCCATTCTGCCTAAGCTGGGAGCTTGTTACCAGCTCTGTTCTGACTCCTAAACAGCCTGATAGGTCAGTGAAATGGCCCCTGGGAGTGCTCTGAGGGCTGTCAGCGCACAGTTTAAATATGGCATTAGTTACTCAGGACAGGAAACCTTCAGGAGGTGTGGTCAGCTGGACTTCCTACGTTTGATAACACTTACTTTGTTTCTGCAGGTATTTTGTGTACGATCATGTGTTTGCAGAAAAGATTACTTCGATGGATAGTCAGTTAAGCCCTGTAGAAGAAGAAAATGAGAAGTTAAAAAAAGCAGTTACAGTTCTGCAAGCCCAGCTGAACCTGGAGAAAGAGAAGAGGGTGACAATGGAGGAGGAATACAGTCTGATGGTGAAGGAGAACTGCGAGCTGGAGCGGAGGCTCGTGGATACAGACTTGTACCGCGCGCGGGCGGAGGAGCTGGAGGCAGAAGTAGCCGAAATGCGGCAGATACTCCAGTCTGAAAACACATTCCATAATGCAGAGAAGTTGGTGCCAGAGTCCTTTTTCATTTCATTCAAGGAATCTCTGGACAGGGAGCTGGGGCAGAGCCTGGCAGATGATGGACTGGTGACAGAGCTGGAGAAGAAGGCGCTGAAGCGGAGCAGCAGCGAGACCCTGCTGAGCAGCGCGGTGGGCGCAGACATCCTGAGGGGCCACGAGGAGACCTGCATCAGGAGAGCTGAGGCCGTGAAACAGCGGGGAATCTCTGTGCTTAATGAAGTTGATGCTCAGTATAATGCTCTGAAAGTGAAGTACGAGGAACTTTTGAAGAAGTGTCAAATGGATGAAGATTGTTTGAAACACAAGGCTGTCCAGACACTGAAGCAGTATTCCAAAGACCTAAACGTGGGGAACACCCAGTATGATCTCTCGGCTAGCAATCAAGGATTCACAGTTGTGGAGCTAAGTGACTCTCCCACAAATGCTCTCCCTGAATATAAAGCACTCTTCAAGGAAATTTTTAGCTGTATCAGAAAAACAAAGGAAGAAATAGATGAACACAGAGCCAAGTACAAGACCCTCTCCTCTCAGCCATAACCTTATCTGTTAGTCAAGAACTTTATAAGAATGTCAGAAGATCCCTTAAAGTGATCTATTTCTTGAGCACTCAAAATGAATGTTTTGGATTGGCTGGTAGACCTGTAGTTAACAAGCCAGTTAGTTAACAGCTAGTTTCCCTGTTCCTATGTAGCAATAGATTTAATGTTTAGCACTGTCACACAAACTAGGGGTTGTAAAGCAAACAAACATCATAGCTTAATACTACACTACTACTTCATATCACACTTCATCTCTGGCTCGAGCAGTGACTGATGTTCATCTCCTTAGGCCACTTCAAAACTAACAGAGCTCAGAACTGTCATAAGAGCCAGACTGAAGCTTTCCTTTGGTTCACAGATGAAGAAAATAACTAAAGCAAAGCCCCAACCAGTGTCATGAGCAGCCTCTCCTCAGTTCTCGAGGAGGGGAGCAGCCTTGTGCTTGCTTTTGCAGGGCAGCAGAGCTGTGCTTGCTTCAAGCCAATACCACATTTCCACATGCACTAAACCCTCCCACAGATTGGTATAAATGTCTTCCTACTGAGAAAGGATTTGATGTCAAGTTTGTGTGGCTTTTTAGGTATGGTTTCCTTTGTAGGGCACTTTGTCTTAAGGCAAGATACTGTGAATTGACTATGTATGTGATTTGGGACCTACTGTTCTCTGGTGGTTGCAAAGTACATTTTTATGTGTATTGGGTAAGATAGAGAGTTGTAATTTAGCTATTTAGCTTTAGTGGTAGCATTGACATAGTGGAGTAGCTTTTGATGTTACATACCACAAACTCTTAAGTGCTTGAGAGACAGGCCAGGTAAAACCTTACACTGTCTGTTGTTTCCAGTGTCAGCCTCTGTGCACCCATTCCGTGCTGCCTGGGGGGTGGGAGGACAGACACAACTCTGCCAGCACGAATCCTACTGCAGTCTTGTTCTGCCTCTCCTTTTCCACTCCCTAATAGTAATTCCTATGTACTCAAAGTCTGAAAAACAAAGAACATGGAGAAGCATGTTCAGAACTGTGTGAAGGAAACAAAGCAGTTAAGGAGGAGAAGAGGCACGATGGAAGGTGACAACATCCTTCTCCCTGTAAAGGTCTGATAGCTTAACATGGCCAGCAGTTCTTGGGAATCAGCTCCCTGCCTTTCCAAGCTGCTGGGATGTACCAAACATTGACACAGAATGTTGAGTTTCTCAGCTTTAGCTGCGCTGCTGCAGCTCTGCTGCCTTACTCTGCTCTCTGCCAGCCTGGGTGGAGCTGCCCTTCAGCTGCAGTATTAAGACTTCATGTTGTGGGATTTTCTCTAAAACATGTATTACAGTCTGAAAATTATTTAAAAATGGGAATCTGGATCTTTTGAATATTTTTCTAAGCAAATAAATAATCCAGTCAAGCTGCATGTGTAATTAGTAATTACATCCATCTGTGCCAATGAGCAAACAGTAAACTCCGTGCAGATGGCACCCACATTATCTAGTCTGGCCATCTTTCCTACACAGATCAGATGGAGTTCCCATGGAATTTGTATTTTAGAAAACTTATGCTACATGGAAAAGGATAGGCCTGTCTAGGATAGAAATCCAGATGGAAATAAGCAGTTTCTCCTCATTGTTGTGGTGTTTGCCAGTGCTGTTAAAAAAGAAGGGGGTGGGGGGAGCAGAAAAGCTGCAGTTGTGCCATCAGGGTCCTGTGCTGTCCCTTTCCCCCACCTGGACCCTTCTCACCTGGTCTGGCCCAGCTGGGACTGGAAAGCTGTAACCTGAGAAAGGCATGACAGGGTCAGTCCCAGATGATTTACTGGTAACATCCTCACCACTTCAGGGGGAGGGGGATCTCCCGGAGATCCTGCTGGATCAGAAGACACGTAAAAGCAGTTCAGAATTTTTGGTTAAGCAGGTGAGCTTCAGTGGTTTGTTACTTCTGGCTGATTTAGAACACTTTGATACATACAGTTGTTATGCTTTAAAAATACCAAAAATATCTCCTCAGAACTACTTCATTCTGCTGTACTGTACCCACCCCTGGCTGCCTGTGCCCCTGCTGAGCTCTGGCTGTGCAGGTTGTGCAATAACCCACTCCAGGCTGGCTCTTTACAGCTTCTCCTGGAAAGCAGCTTTCCAGCTGTAGCCACAGGTAATGCTGGGTCAGTGCCAGCCAGGGCTGCCTGGACATAAAACACCTCCCAATTACACTGACGTAGTCAATAAACTACACTGGCATATGAAGGTAAAATTTTAGCAGTTTAAAAATAGCCATTTTCCACCCAAATGTGAAATGCCATACGTATGGTAACAACATTCTTAGCCAACCTTATCTGGATTAACCACCTTAATCTGCTTAGTTTAGTCAACAACTCAGCTTTTTCTGAGCATAAGTAGATGAAATCAATAGAATCCCCTTGAGCTTCTCATACGATGGAAGCTGCAGCAGAGAACAGGACCTGTGCAGTGTGTTCTGCAGAGCCCACAGTGGATTCTCCTGGTCCTGCTGGAGTTGGGCTCCACTGCTAAACCTGCCCAGGGCTGGGTGGCTGCCCTGGAGCAGCAGGATCTGCACAGCCCCAGAGGGCAGGGCCAGCAGGGATTCACAGCCTGTGCTCTCCACCTCTGACCTCTGCTGCAGCTTCCCTGACCTCGCCATCCTCTGCAAGACTTCAGGCTGTGAAAGGAGCCGGTGCCGCTTCTGCTTCTCCCTGGACAAATACAAGGCGGGGTAGAATTGACCTTTGAGATAAAATTTTATTTAAAAATTACACAAAATAGAGGTTTTACATGGTTGCTGTGTGGTAACTACAGCTGGATGCCTTCCAGAGGGTGCCCTGGGTTACTTACCTCGCTGTACTCACTCAGAAACACAAAGCATCCCTCAAACCAACCCCACACCAGGAGAAGAAATCCAGTAGTTGTTCCCTGTGTTTCAGATGTAGGTACTTTTCCAAATAACTCATTTCACAGACAACAGGTGAGAACAATTGCAATGCAGTACAGAGTTCACAGACAGTGATTTTGTTCCCCCCTCCCAGGCCTGACATTCCCATGAACGTGACTACCTGCTCTCTATCCAGAGGGCTGCAAGGGCTATGACAATGCTCACTTAGGTATGAGCATCCAGGGATTTAACAAAAACTGGGATGTTTGTAAACAAATTTAATTTATTGGCATTACTTACAAAATAAAGTTTTAGACCATGATTTTCCATCATGTCTGTGTCGCTATATTGTTTTATTTTTTTTTTTTTGTAATGGAACAGAAGGAGAATTGAAATACATCAGAAATCCCAGATTACTCAAGCTGCAGACAGGGTCCCACGTGCCTTCCCGGCTGCTCCCACACAAACTGCGAGTGCTGGGGTGCCGGTGACGGTCTGCAATGCCCACGTGCCCCGCGGGAGGTCAGACCCTGCCCCTCCCGAGGCCCGGCATTGCTCCGGCTGCGCCACCGCTGCAGGTTCCTCTTGTGTCCCCGATCACCTGGCAGCTGTCACCGCTGTCAGGACTGCACCGTCCCCTTTAGATACCACATTCCACCGTAGCTCACGCAGCAGTCCTGGGGAGACAGGGAGAGGCTCTGTCAGCGTGCTCAGGCATCGGAACAGGTTGATGGTTGGACTGGATGATCTTCAAGGTCTCTGCTGACCTTGATGATTTTATGATTCTAAACTCTAAAAGGTCTTGAAAACCCCTGTCTGGCCCTGGGACAATGACAGTGATCAATAAGAAGCCCCTCTCCATGCACAGGACCTGGAGTGCAGGTTTATCTCCACCCTGAGGACCAGACCCCTTAAATGAAGGCGACACTCGGCTGGGGGAAGGTTGAGAGGTCACAAAGAGGGCAAAGGGCAGCACAGCAGTGAGGAACTGGGGTGGCTTCTGGGGGCAGAAACAGCTGAGGGAAGGTTGTGTGAGGGCAGAGGACCAGGGAAAGGAGGGATAAGCACGGGAGGGATAAGCTCAGAGGGAGAGGCTGAAGGGAGCAGCAGGACAGGGTTGGAGTGGGGGAACAGTCGCTGGATCTAAAGCCTTTTAAAAAACCCCATTCTGTGACAGTGAACTGCCCAGCCCCAGAGCCACGTTGTGCCCACGTGTGATGCTCCCAGCGGGGGAGCACCAGGCAGAGGATGCAGGAAATGGGCTGTCTCTGGCTCATTTCCTTGTTTGTATTCCATGAGCACCAAGGCTCTGGAGTTCTGAGCTAACGGCCTCTCTTTCTTCTGCTCCCACCCTCCCACTCAGGTAATTCAACACAGGCTGCCACACAACTGACGCTGTGCAGCTTCAACAGATCTTTTTTCCTGGAGTTCTGGGACTTGTGCATGGCACAAACAAACCAGCCCTGTGTGGAGGCTCAGAAAGAGGTTTTGCAGACTTGCTCTGCAGATACAAAAACACAACCCCTGTCAGTCTGCTCCTCTGTGTATGAAAAAAGGAGCACAGGCAGACGGGGAAATCGGAGTCAACAAATCCAATTTCATTCAAAGAGGAATCCACTCTCTTGTGGCTTAAAGAAGCCAGAGAATTCTTCCTATTTCATTAAATCATACTTCTAAATTTTATTTCAGAAACAAAGATTTCCCATGCTCCTGTGACAAATGCCCTGAGGGCAATAAAGCCTGATAACACCAGGCTGGTCACACAACGACCTCTTTTTTTACGTAAAAACTGTGCGTAATTTTTTTAGGGGAGGGTATTTTTTTCTAGAAATTGGTGACCTGTTAAACAGCAACAGCATCATGAAAAACTAATGCCAGTACATTGTCTGGATGTTCCAGGAGAGCTGATACTTGAGCTCGTGCAGTTGCTGACAACTCTCCCAGCACAGGAAATACTGTCGAGCAGGCAGAAACGGCTGAGCTTATTTTACTGCTAAGACAACCAGGTTCTTTCAAGCAAGACCAGTTTGCTTATTATCAAAGCAACAGATCTGTAATTCTTCAAAGATGCTATTATTCATCTGCAGATCACAATGTAATAAAAGCACTTAAGCACTCGTCTTATTGAAGTGGGTGACAGGGAGCAAGGGCCCAGCCACAATGATTAAAGTATTACATTAGTTGGCAACTTTCTGCTTGGCCATCCTGCACCGCTTTTAAAGTCATGGCCTGTGTGGTCTGTACTTTATACCTCAAACTTCTTGAGCAAGTAAGTGGTGCAGCTTCAAAGACAGATGAAAGGATTCAAATAAACATTCACAATGAGATGTGTTAGCTACTGCTTTGCCTGCTGGTTTTGCTCTTCACAAAGCTAGAGAATGAAATGCATTTCCTTCTGAACATGTGGCACTTGTGCTCTTCAGCATTGCCCAGCCACAGTCAGCTGGTAACTCAGAACACTGGGCAGAACCCTCCCACCTCCAAAATTATTTAAAATTAAATATTTAAAAATAACTCAAGTGTCACATTTACTACACTCTGCTGCTCCAAGATGACAAATGGAGATTTGTTACAGTAACACAGAATACTGTGTGAGCCACTGCTCCTTGGAGGGAAAGAAGATAGAACGAGACCAAGTGCATTTTTAAGAAAACAAGCTGATACAGAGGCTTATTCCAACAACAGCTGTTCCATCATCCCTATCATTTGTCAGTTCAAGGTAAAATATAATCTCAAACAGCATTAAGTTTCGTGTATTGACTGGATCAAACTGAACAGAAACTTACCTTTAACACTCTATCCACCTCCTGCTTGTTGAGATCCTCTCCACACTCCTGGCTCAGCTGGCTCTGGATGACGTTCCTGCGCACTCGGTAGTTTCTCGAAAAGATTTCAAGCAAAACTTGGCGATGCTTTAAAAGAAAACGGGTCATAAACACACAGAGAACAATCCTTCCTCTCTTGGTATCAAAACTGCAGGTGCCTTACTCTGTACAGAGCATTCTCTGAACTGCATCAGGGGATTCTTGCTTCATAATCCTGACACCATCCCAGACACTCCTGCTGTCCGGCAGTGCCCTGCAGGGATATCCCCACACCCTGTGGCCCAACCTGCACCTGTGTCCTGCCTTGGGGCACCTCCAAAGGTACCAAAACCTGATGAACAGGGGGCTACAATGTATTTCCCTCAAATGCTTCCACAGGAGTTCCCATGGTCCACTCCAGCCAGGAGATGGGCTGTTCTTTCCTATAAAAATTTGTTTAGATCACGGACACAGGAATTGCACTGTCCATCTGCAGTTCTTCAGGCACCTTCCCTTTCACCTCATTTACCCTCAGAGCAGGAGATGCTCACATTTGCTGTAATGATTTCCTCTCCTGAGTACAGGTACAACAGATAACACCAGTTAGTCTCTGGTTTACATTGCATTACCATCAAAAGAAAAAAAAAAAAGCTTGGACTGGATCCTGGTGTGAGTCCATTGGAGAATCCTTTCTCCTGACAGGTTCAGGAACAGCCTCCTGAGCTTGTTACTGCCATGATTACCAACATGTTGTGAGCAAAGAGCTTCCTTTCAGCTGGAAACTCAACACTTGAATAGGGAAAGAGCAAAGCTACCTGCTGTACTAGTTCCAGAAACGTGGATTCAAACAATGCCCAGTGCTCAATTAACATATATTTGTGAATGTCACTTATTTTATCTTTACCTGATCATAAGTGTCACCAGCTTCCCAAAGTGCATAGACCTTTAGTTCATCTGGTGAGGCAGCAGTCTGTGGAGGAAACTGAGAACAAGAAGCTGTTAAAAATAACAGCTATTTAATGAGTTCTGCTTAATGATTCCATGATCCTGTATCCCTGGACACCCATTACTGAATCAAAACCTTGGTTACCACGTAATGAGAACTGGAACAACCGTCCAAAACAGTATCAGCTGAGAGCACCAAGTGCATTGCAGGGTCTTTCTGGAGGTTTTTACATTTACAGGGGCAGGTTTTAACTCTATCCCACATTTACCTGCCTCACTAATCCCGGGTCAGGGTTACTGCCAACACAGTGGGTCTGATGCATTGTCATCTCTGTTCTGGGGCAGACCACAGGACAGCAGAAGGCTGAACACTGATGGACAGTGAACCAGCTATTTGCTCATTTCAGGCTCCAAAAATGCCAGTGGGTTTGTGTGTTTGGTTTTTTCCCACGTGCCAAGCTAGAGGAACACATCAGTGCTTTCTGAGGCAGAGCCTCCCAGCCCTGCACGCAGGGAGGAACACAACTGCCTCCCCAAACTCTGCAAAAATAAAATACCATCCATTTGCCTTAACAGTTCCCCTTGGAGCAGTGACTAATGAGCAATGCAGGAATATGCCTTCACTCCTGACAGGTCTCTTCCTGTCTGTCACTCACAATTTATTCCTTGCTCACCGCCCAGACGACCTAAATCAATCAGTTATGACAAGCTAACAAGCCAGTCCTGATTGTCCCAGGATCCCTCAATCCTGGCTGCTAGGACAAGCCAAACCTTTCTTCCCAGCCTCCCTCACAGCAACCAAAAGACTTGTGCATGGCAGAGGGAAAGATCAGCATTTCCTTTCATGCTTTGCCTCTGATCTTATTGCAAAGGGGAAGGGGTTTGTCCAGAGGGAGCTGCCTGGTGGGATTAGCAGCTTTTGCTCTCAGGTTAGTCCAAATGGCTGCAATATAACAAGGTTTTACACTTGGTTTAGAGCCAGGATTCAGGTTTATTAGGCTT